CTGGCTGAGCAGCCACTCTGCAGAAAAGGGCCTGGGGGTGACAGTGGGCAATAAACTGAATAGGAGCCAGCAGTGTGCCCTTGTTGCCAAGAAGGCTGATGGCATCCTGGGCTGCATTGGAGGAGCGTTGCCAGCAGATCGAGGGCAGTGATTCTTCCCCTGTATTCAGCACTGGAGAGGCCACATCTGGAGTCCTATGTTCATTTGTGGCCCCCCACTACAGAAAGGCTGCGGACAAATGGGAGAGAATCCAGCGGAGGGTGACAAAAATGGTGAGGGGGCTGGGGGACATGGCTTCTGAGGAAAGACAGGGGGAACTGGGCTGATTTAGTCTGGAGAAGAGGAGACTGAGAGGAGACTTAATAGCAGTCTTCATCTACTTGAAGGGGGGTTCAAAAGAGGATGGAGATAGACCGTTCTCGGTGTGGGCACTGGACACAGAACAAGGAGCAATGGGCTCAAGTTGCAGCAAGGGAAGTTTAGGTTAGATATTAGGAAGAATTTTCTCACTAGGAGGGTAGTAAAACATTGGAACAGGTTACTCAGAGAGGTGGTGGAAGCTCCATCTTTGGCAGGCTTGCAAAACCTGGCTAGACAAAGCCTTGGCTGGGATGATCTAGTTGGGGCTGGTCCTGCTTTGAGCAGGGGTTGGACTTGATGACCTCCCTGAGGTTCCTCCCAACCCTAACTTTCTTTGATTCTGTGCACTGCCCTCGGCCTGCGCAATGCTGCCTCTCTAGTGCTTTCTCGGTCCCTCCTCTGAGGCTCTGCAGGTGCCTCTTTTTCGGACAGTAGCTCCTGGGGCAGGAACAGCGGTTTGTGCCCTGTAGAGCTGTGCATGTGTGAGGAGTTGAAGAAGCAATTATACATCTAGCTACCGCAGAGGCCTTGCCTTGCTCACCTTGGCCCATGTCTGATCCCCTTGGCCTGCAGAAGTGGCTCCTGGACTCCCTCTCTGGATGTCCTCTGCTCCTGGACTCCCTGGTAGGGGATGGTGGGTGGCTTTGGCTTGATTTAAAAACCTGCTTGTGAGGTTTCCTGTTGGCATTATATCCTTTGTGGGGTGGAGCACGACTTGCCCCTCCTTCCCCTGCCCCCTTTACCCATGTCCTGCTTGTGGAAACTGAGAAATGTTCCTTTTTCCTTCCCAATCACATTTCCTGGACTGGGGGAAGGGAGTAAAGTGGGGGAGATCAGTGAGCAGGAGGGAGGGGGCTGCTTGGGTAACAGGGAGATGAGTCGGAGAAGTCCACCCACACTCTCGAGGAATGTGTTCACTCACACCACACCACTCAAACTTCCCAGCAGTAAGGGAGGTGACCAAGAGCCTTCTCAGAACCTAGTATTTCCAAACAGGGGAGGGGGTGACAACAGAGCTGCTGGCTAGCTGCTCCTGAAATTCTACTGCGTGGCATGTGCACATAGCACCCGGTGCTCTCTTATGTGCACGTGCGATACAGCGACGTCGGGTGGCTGTTAGTGAAGAGTGGTGGATCCACTGAAACGGAGGGTGGCAAATGGTGTCCCTTGAGCATGCATCCTTGCGGTTGTCTGACACAGCAAAGCTGGGAGGCTACATCTAAGTGCGCTAGCTGCCAGTGTCCTGCCCCAGGGCAGGATAGCCTGAGAAGGGGAGCAGAGGGAACGGGGAGATGCTTGACTCAGAACCTAGAGCAGGAACTGGATTGTTTTTTCCCTTCCTCCTTTAGTGACATAGGGCAGGGAATGAACCAGCTGGTCATGCCCAGTGACACTGCATGGAGGTCACAGGTCAGAGGATGCCCTCTCCCTCACCCCCTGCAGAGAGCAGGGAGGCTCCAGCTGGGGCAGAGGTGCTGCTGGTGGAGGCATCCCCAAATTCAGATCAGAACCTGGACCTCTAAGCTTTTCCTTACCTTGCTTTCCTAGATGTATCTGCTCAGGAATTACCTTCTTTGAAGGAAAAATAACAAAAGATAACTATTTTCCGTTGTGTAAATATCTTGTGCAATTTTCATTTGATAGTTTGCATATTATTCTCTTCAATGACTTTATATAATGTTTGCACACATGTGCGCACACATGTACGTGTGTGTAATTTATGGTCCTTGTGAGTAAAGTATTGTTTTTTTCCAGTGTAGCAGGAGGGCAGACTTTGTATATCCTCTGCCTGATACCTAGACCCAGATCTGGGGGTGCATTTGCAGGGACATGGTGCAGGTGGGTGTTGGCCTATCTTCTGTGGATCCCTGATTGGCAAGCAAGGTGATGGGAGTTCAGGGCTGGATCTGGGGACTGTTCCAGCCCATCTTTGATAAGAGACCCCCAAACCTTCATTAGGTGGGAACAGTTTTTGAGCTGGGTTTGATGCTGATACTCTGCAGCTCTTTAGCAGTATTTTGAGCCTTGAGGGCTCCTTATAGATTCAGTACATACAAGTCCCGTTAACAGTGAAGAATGTTAAGGTTACCAAAGCTAGAATTAGGTGGTCTCAGACTTTGAGCTCCCTTTGTGCCTGTGCTTTGTTAGTGCCATGATTGCAAGCATCAGGCAGGGTTTGCATCCAGGACCTTCAGATGCACAGTTCAGGCCATAGCACTTTGGATACAAAAGTGTCTAGTAACAGAAATAGGCATAGATGGACCAGCCCCAGCAGGGAAACACAGGGGATATTTTGCCCATGTCTTACAGGTTTTTTTGTGATGCAGGAAAGGGCTATTGCATAGCAGTACTTTGCGTCGATCTTTCATCAGCCCCATGGGACGCCCATGCCCGCTACGGGGCAGGGAAGTCCAGGTGAGGGTGATCCCCTGCCCTCCATTGATGCTGACTTCGTGAAGGAACATCTTGAGAAGCTGGATACCTTCAAGTCAGCCGGCCCTGACAGTCTTCACCCCAGGGTACTCAAGGAGCTGGCGAGCATCATAGCCCAGCCTCTAGCACGGATCTTTGAAAACTCTTGGCGCTCTGGCGTAGTGCCCGAAGACTGGAAGAAGGCCAATGTGGTGCCTATCTTCAAGAAAGGGAGGAAAGTGGATCCGGCTAACTATAGGCCCATCAGTCTGACTTCTATCCCGGGGAAGATCTTAGAAAAGTTTATTAAAGAGGCCATCCTTAATGGACTGGCTGACGCCAACATCTTAAGGGATAGCCAGCACGGGTTTGTCACGGGTAGGTCTTGCTTGACCAATCTCATTTCCTTCTACGGCCAGGTGACCTATCACCTGGACAAGGGAGAAGAGATTGATGTCATATATCTTGACTTCAAAAAAGCCTTCGATCTGGTTTCCCATGATTGCCTCTTGGAGAAACTGGCCAATTGTCGCCTTGGGTCCTCCACAATCCACTGGCTGGAAAATTGGCTCCAGGGTTGGACCCAGAGGGTAGTAATTGATGGAAGTCACTCATCGTGGTGTCCTGTGACCAGTGGGGTCCCCCAAGGCTGTTATGATTTATTACATTTTGAGATATTTACTTTGAGCTAGATCCTCAACTGGTATGTAGGGTTTTTGTTTTTGGGGGGGTTTTTTCCAGTGGAGTGAATGAAGGCATACACTTGACAAATTTCATATTGTTGCGTTGTTTTCCACACTGAGGTAAAAAGCCTGACAGAAGAAACTTCACGAAGAGATGAACATGAGCCTGCAGTGCGATGCTGCAGCTAGTAAAGCGACCAAAACGCTGGCTTGCATCCATAGATGCTTCTCAAGCAAATTCCGGGACGTCATTCTCCCCTTGTACTCGGCCTTAGTGAGGCCGCAGCTGGAGTACTGCGTCCAGTTTTGGGCTCCACAATTCAAAAAGGATGTGGAGAAGCTTGAGAGAGTGCAGAGAAGAGCCACGCGCATGATCAGAGGTCAGGGAAGCAGACCCTACGATGACAGGCTGAGAGCCCTGGGGCTCTTTAGCCTGGAAAAGCGCAGGTTCAGGGGTGATCTGATGGCCACCTATAAGTTTATCAGGGGTGACCACCAGTATGTGGGGGAACGTTTGTTCACCAGAGCGCCCCAAGGGATGATGACTAGGTCGAATGGTCATAAACTACTACAAGACCGTTTCAGGCTGGACATAAGGAAGAATTTCTTTACTGTCCGAGCCCCCAAGGTCTGGAACAGCCTGCCACCGGAGGTGGTTCAAGCGCCTTCATTGAACACCTTCAAGACGAAACTGGATGCTTATCTTGCTGGGATCCTATGACCCCAGCTGACTTCCTGCCCTTTGGGCGGGGGGCTGGACTCAATGATCTTCCGAGGTCCCTTCCAGCCCTAATGTCTATGAAATCTATGAAATCCCTCAGTTCTATTTCTTGCATTCAGAGACAGGGTGTAGTGGCTATACCTAGTGCACTTAGGCACACAAAGTTGGTACCTTCATTCTGGGAGGCACTGTGGTTCAGAGAATGGGAGTTGCTTTTGTCATTAGAAATCTCAAATTTAGTCCCAGATCTGGCTGCAGTTACCCTGTACAACCTCTGAGTGCTCCAGACTTTAGCCTTATCTCCACTCCCTGAATGCCACGGGCCTATGAGAACGCAAAGAAAGAAGCTGCTCTGAGCAGTTTACAAAGCTCACTTAATGACATGCACACTTAGTCCCAATTCTGTATTGCTTCCCCTCTCCTGCCCTGCCTGGTACCTTCTTCATCATGAAAGTTGCTGTATTAGAAGGAAGCCATCTTATTGTCATGCTAATCCAAGGAACCCTGTTGAACTTCCCCTACTATGACTTACATCTCCATCCTGACCAGGTGGAGAAAAAGCCAAAACAGCCCATATTCCACTTTAACCCTTATCAGAAAGTTTTCTCTCATGCTTTCTCAGGGCCCCACGGCAGGTGGCAGGAATGTCTGGGGATCCTGCCATTCAGCTGACAGGTGTGGGGGTGATTCCTCACTGCCCCTCCAACTCCTTCTGTCCACTAAAGAATGAGAAAGGGGCTTTAGTAGCGAACCCCACCCCAGCTCTCCCAGGAAGTCATCTTGACACTCCAACATGCCAGGGCAAGGCACCAGTCTAGGCCTTGAGGCCATCTCACATCACCACCATGTGGTTTAGGTCTGGTTTTGTTTCCCAACCCCTTCCTCCTTCTCATGCATATCACTTGCACCCAGATGCAGCACAGATGCTATGCAGCAGCTGTGACCGTCAGCTAATGCAGCTCATTCCACTTCAGGTGAAAAGTGGCTGTTGCAGTCACTCTTCCCTACATGGCTGTGATCATTTTCTCTGAGCCCTGGCTTCTTCCTCTGATTTCAGTTTCCTTGAGCAGCCACGCTTATTTGTATAAGACACTTTTGAGCAGTACTCATGCTCTAATTGTGTTTGATTCTAACGATACTGGGGCTCAACAGTGCCAGACAGTGACTGGGATAATTACACAGATACAAGTAGCTGAGTGCTCAACAGCAGGGGTGTACTAAGGGCTTCAGGAACTCCTTGTTGAATCCTGCCATTGAGCTGAGGGGACAACGGGGATCTTCCTCTGCCCTTCACTCCCTCCCTTTCTGGGTGTTACTAAACTAGCCTTGCTAGGGGTGGCTTGGCCTGGACTCATCAGCACCTGCTGAATGGCAATTTCAGTGGCCCTGGTTGCATCATATGGCAGTGCACTTTGGACAGTGTTCAGGATCAGAGACCCAGGCCCCTGTCAAAGGTCTGCCTCCCCTCCACACCCTTCAAATCCTATAAACTTAGTATGGGCTGGGGATGTCTCTGGGGGTTTCACACAAGCAAAGTCTGATCATGTCCAGCAAGTGCCAAGTTGTTTGCTGGGTGCTGCTGCTCTTCCTGCACCTGGCATTATGTGAGAATTTGGTGTCAATGGGTGGTAGGGGGACAGGACAGATGGTCAGTCTCCTCATTTTGTCTCTCTGAGTATATTGCAGCAACGGAGGACATGTTTGGGAAGCCACTTGCTGAAATCTTGGCTATAGT